ATATATGGAGAAGAAGTATTCACAAACTCCTCAGTATTGGGCTTAAGAAAAGACAAGTGCACTCTCATTCTGCATCTCCATTCAATCTGGTCTAATATCACAGAACTCCACTGTACATTCAGAATAAGAGTCAATGTCTGAGTATTATTATGAAGAGTTTTAACCTCACAGGCCCCATAAAAGTACTTCAGTAATTCTGAAGCACACTTTAAGAATCTCTGAGTTGAAAAATATTCATAAATATGTTTAGTATCATTGTATACAAAGATATTTTATGGTTTCCTTACATCAAGTCTTAAATTCCATTGTTTTTTCCCCTCTACTCTCTCAATCAGGGGCTCCCAGGCAGCATGGGTCTCATTGTAATAGTGAACCTGGAAAGATACAGAAAAATAATAGGTGACTACTCCTCGGAAGGAAGGTTGGGCAATCCTACTTCCGTAGTGATACTGCCTCGGAAACCCAAGGAGGGGTCGCTATGAGTCGGGGCCGACTCCACGGCACATAACAACAACAACAACAACAATAAGCTATTTCTATAATCAGTAGGAAAAAAATCCTAAGTAACTAATAACTATGTAAATAAGTACCTATGTTAATGGTCACTTTAAAAATCCCACCTAAAGACACAGAGAATATAAATATATAAAGTGTTTATTTCATTCTTTACTTTATTGCCATAAATAAATTATTTACCAGAAGAATCTTTTAAAAAAATAATTACCAAATGAATAATACTATCCATCAACCTCTTAAAGGTTATAGTATATTGTCTATTCACACATATACACTTGCTGTGGTCGTAAACAAATGCACGACAACAATAAAAATAAGTTCATTATCTTAATTCTGTAACTGTACTTTAGAGAAATTGGTTTCGAAGGTACTAAATGACATGGCCATACCTCTAGTGTCATGTCAGCAGTAGCAGCCATTAGAGAAGTCCAATTTTTAATAATTCCTGAAAACTTAGACTCTGCCAACAATAAAGGTACAGTTCGATGTCCTAGGCCACATTCTAAGGTAACTTGAACTGACTCCACGACAATAGCACAATTTTCCTCTATCAACAGATGCTCTATGTCTGTGAAATTTTCAGTTACTTCTGTTGCTGTGTCAACACCAAGAAACCAGGAGTTATAATCATTAACAGATCTGATGCCCCAAAGATTTTCCATTTCCTTAGATGTATCTTTGGATTCATCTTCTTTTGCCTTTGGAGACATAGCAGCCATGATTGTCATCACAGTGTTAAGAATTATGGGTGAAATCTTAAAAAAAGGAAACAGAAAAAAATTTTAGAATAAATTCTGCCTAGATGAGAAGAAAATACAAAAGTTAAAAAATAACTATTTTAAAATTTAAACATATTAAATGCATGACTAAGGAAAGCAGAGACACATGAAAAGAAAGCACACAAAAATCATGTGTCTACCAACTTCATAATACTGATTTCTACCCAGGTTACTCTGGAATTACGTAACTAATGTTAAAATGTAACAGGCAATACCTAGAGTTAAAATATAAATTCAGGGCAAAATAGTTATATCGACAGAAAAAAATGATGTGACTGGATTTTTCATTTTTCAACTAACTATATTAACTAAACCAAAGTATGTGATCCTCTCCAAGATATACACAGATGGCTTTCATTTTTCTTATTTCAACTTAAATTCATTTTAGAAAGGTCTCATGAAGACAGGCTAGTAAGGCTTTGGTTGGGAAGCCTGGAAATCACCATGGATCCCCCTTTACTCACCACAAAATCTACTAATTCTACCTCTTAGTACCTTTGGAATCTGCTCACTTTCTTCATTCCTCTCACTGTGGTTTAGTTCTATACTACGGTGTTTCTGTGTTCAGTTAGCAACCACTCAGCCTATCCTCCACACTGTCAGCAGGATGATTTTCCTAAAACGCAACTCTTGGCAAGGCATGTCTATGCTTAAAATCTTTAAGAGTTTCTCACAACTTTCAGAATAAAATTCAAATTCTCTTAGCTTAGTGCACAAAGCTTTTTGTAGGCTGATGCCTATTCAATCAGTTAACCAGCATTATCCAAAACTTAAGAAATACTGGAATAAGTTAAATAAATTATTTTATTGTTCACATCTCATAACTCTTAATTAATATACTTAAGAGATATTCTACCATCAAAATAAAGATCTAGCATATACTGCTTTTCAAATTGACCTGTCAACTGAATCCTTTTTATCTCCTTGCTTTATTAATGTCACCTATAATTAAATGTCCTGCCATTACAACTTCATGATACCATTTTCTCCAGCCATATGGAACTATCCCTCTAAGTCCTTAAAGGACTTTTTCACACCTCTGCCCTGGTGCATATTGTTGGTTCTATCTGGATAGCCTTTCCCCTCCCTTTTCAATGAACAACTTGACTTTAAAACATCAGACTTTGAAAATTCCGTTCAAGCAGCCTCTCCTCTAGGTAATTTTCTCTAATGTCCTGGTCTGAGTTAGAGGTCCCTTGCCTGTGACCCACAGGAACTTGTGCAGGCCTCTGGAATTGATAAGTGTAATCATTGATTTACTTTTTCTCCCACATGCTTCCTTCAAGTTCTCTGAAAACAAGAACTATAGTACCTCCCAATGCCTTCTACAGGACATTTTTGTACATAATAAGAGCTCAACAAAAGTTTGCTTAATGAATAAATAAATTTACGTAAAAATAAATTCATTTTATAAAGGATATGTGAGAGGATAATCTCCTCCCTCCTCACCCCTAAGTACCTAAGTTGGTGCTTCAGAGAAAGCACGTGCAAATACAAGGAGTTCCTCCCTCCCATTCACTACTGTCTTTAAAAAGTAAATCCTAGTAATTTATTTCTAGCATGTACCTGCCATTGTTACAAATATTTTACAAGCCAAATCAAACATTTCATCACATCATTATTAAATTCCATCACATTATACCTCAAACAAAAGCCAAAAATAACTTATTACAAATAAATTGATAGTAATCTTATTTCTCCATCATTTCCTCCCTTATCTCCCATTCCATCCCTGGTCTCCCCTCAAGCCATCCTCCCTAACATTGACAGAGATGTAATACAGAAAAACTATCCTGGTCATTTATAGATATCATTAAGCAATCTTTTAATCAAAATAGAAACAAATGTTTGCAATAAAGAATTCTAACATCAGAACATAATTAGCGACTAGCATAGTGCTTCAGTTATGAAAGAGAAATCAAAAGATATTACCTCAGATAACTGCAAATATAAATATTGCTAGAAAAAAATAAAAATAAAAAATTTTCACCCAATGAATATAATAGGCACTAACCTTAATTATACATTCCTTAAGTGTAATATTTATATTTTGTTTCCCTGAAGCCCAGGTACATTTTTCCATAAATAAAGAACAAGGTTGCAAGACCTAGAAACAAATTAATGGAATTCACATTTCCTCAGTAATAAGAAATTTCATTTCAAATACATGAAATTCACATTTCCTCAATAAGCCCATTATACATGTAACATACACTTTACAAGAACCAAGTCTTACTTAACTTGGAGTCTTTAAGGATAGCCTGCTGCTAAAAGCAAAAAGGCAAATTAAATTAGATGAGGGTCTCTTCTGAGGGCTCTTCTGAACTATGGTGAATCTGTGAATACTTAAAGGACTTTAAGCAGTTCTAATCAATTTCCTTACATCACATCTTTAAGTAATGATATATATTTACTATCAGCATCTTAAAATGTTTCCTTTTGCTAAAATATTTTTCAAATGATGCCTTTCTACAAAATATACTTTAAGAAGTCTCCCCAGAAAATGAGCTAAAGACTATGATTTTCAGGTGAGTAGAAAGTGAGGCTTGAATATCATACAAGGTCCTTGTTAAATTTCATATTTTCAAACTCAATGATTATAACTATTAAGCCTATGTTCTCACATACCATGAAAGAAGAAAATACAATACCTTTATACCTGAAATGAATGGGGTTTAGTATAGTATACCTTTCATCTAAACAAACGTTAAGATGAGCTTTCACTTGATGAATTAATTAATGTGCTTTTAATTGATGTCTGTGACATGAGTCTACCAAACAATATTTTATGACAAAATACAGACTAAAAGCATTGCATTTCTTTTTACAAACTTTGCCCACAAGTTTATTTCATTTAAAATAACATTGCAAATGAGTCACATAATATAATTACCCTTTTAGTATAAAATTACCAACTTAACATTTTTAAAATTTTGTATGGTAATTGTCTCAATTAACTAAGATCATATTTTTCAATAATAATTTAACAATAATTGAAGTTAACTTTTAATAGCAGAACACAATCTCTGTTGGTCACATGCATCGAATTTAATTTTTCTTTTATTCTAAGCTTAAAATTTTTAATACTCACTCATTTATTCCTTCATTCAGTAATTCATTGGGTATAGTATAAACAAAAGAAATAACTGAAAAAGAATGTTGATCTGCACTAAAATTCAAATACTATTCAAGAGAAAACATTAGAATGAAAGGAAAACCAGTCTGGAGCTAATCCCTGGCTCTCTCATTAACAGCCACGGCTAAATCATTTAACCTATTTGGAACTCAGTATCTTTATCTTTAAAACCCCAAGTCTATAGACATGATGTCTAAATCTTACAGAGCTCTCACTTTCTTGGATTATACAAATCAACTATTTCTGCCATTCTTCAATCCAAGCTTAAAATATAAAGTACTTCTTACTGTAGTGATGTTTTTTCCTCTCTTTTCTCTGAGAAAAGGGCAAGCAAGCACTTTAAGATCTCTCACAGAGGCTTCCATCATTTGTTCAAGTTTGGATGTTGACAGAGAGAGGTTACACTGGAATGAGGCTGTGACAGCAGGAGCATCAGCCTTTGTCAGGTTGGCAACAAACACCACTTCGGGATCTATGATCACGGCCTTTAAAGTCATATTTGGTCTTACAGAATCATCTGAGGAAATAAAAATAGGAACCAAAAAAGTTTGAAAATAAATCTTGTCACTTGAATTCATGTTATCTCCAAATTGCTAATGTGTTGCTAATATTCTGCTATAATGTATATGGTAAAAATAATAATAGTAATAACTGATCAACTAATACTAAAAAATAAATGATTATTAACAAATGCTGACTGTGTGGGGAAACAAGAATCTAATCCCTATACACAAGAAGATCATTCCCACTTTGATGTAGCAGGAATAAACTTGTTCTGAAGTTCCTTTTGTCAGAATTAAGGTGAGTGCATATATACACACATAAGCATGTACTATGTTATATTATACTGTATTATATTAAATGGTCAAGGAAGGGAAAAGTGGGGAGGGGAAAACAAGAGGAGGAAAGGAGACCCTTAAAGAGTAGACAGACCATTATTACTTGTTTACTTTGATTTCACCATAAAGCTCATAGTCACTGTCATATTATCTGTAGTATAAACACATAAAATGTACATATGAATACAGAGACTTGATTACAATTTAAGAAATATTAAAGATAATTTAAAACATATCATTCAGATCTTGCTAGTAAATGATAATTTTCCAATCTTGCTGAGTTGAACAGGGAAAAAAGATGCCTGACCTGAGACAATTTAACATAGAAAGCCACTAGTCTGCTTGGTAATGCTAGAATTAAAGAATTACAGAGCTGGAGAGTGGTTATACCTATATTGTTGTTGTTATTTGCCATCGAGTCAGCCCCGACTCATAGCGACCCCTCCTTGGGTTTCCGAGGCAGTATCACTACGGAAGTAGGAATGCCCAATCTTCCTTCCGAGGAGTGGCTGGTGGGTTTGAACCACCAGCTTTCTGGTTAGCAGTCAAGTGCCTTAGGCACTATGCTACCAGAGCTCTATTAGACCTTCATAAACTGTGTTCCAAAGAGTTTAAGGATCCTAAGGTGGTATCCTAGGGGCCTCACGCTAGATCTTCTCATGTCTCCACTTTGTGCTTTTTTCTGTTGAAATGCTCTTCACTATGCTGGAATTCTTAAAAATATTTTCTTTGAATAAAAGATTCTTCTTCTATAAAACAGGTTGCAAACCACTGACTCAGACTAATCCCTTCTACTCTGGATGCATAAAGAAATCTTAATGGTAGAATTCAAACCAGCATAAAGGTTTTCTGGCCCCTGACCAGAAAATACTGTACCTTTCTCTTAAAAATATGTGCTTAGTGAAGTTTTTCTATAGAACAAGGTGAAATTTTAAAGATTAATTTTATCTTCTTAAATTCTCTATTTCCTTTTCCCCTATTTGTAATTTTGTTAAAATACAGCAGAAGTTTATCTAAGACAAATAAATTCTGTTAACCTTTCTCTGACTTGATTCTTGCTGTCCCAGTCTGTCTTAGTGAAATCTGTGCTTCTTTTGCCATATTTTCTGGACTCTGAGGCACAGCTTTGATGAAGAAATCTGCCACAGTCATCAAAAATTCCACACTGGCACAAACATACAGCTTGTCAAGAACAGCATCTATTTGACTTCCATTTTTGTCTTGTTCGTAGTTTATATCAATCATAGAACTGTGGTTATTCTGGTCATTCTTTTTGTCAATCATTCTGAAATAAACAACACATGCCATTATTATTTTAAATTCCTGCTAAAAAGATGAAAAATTTCTGACACACCTTAGTAAACTTTCTTTCACCTTTCACATTCTAATCTCCACAGAAAAGAAGTCAGTATTAACCAGAATCTAATTACCCAATTAGCAACCAAGACAAGGTCTCCTAATTTCCACAATTCAAGACCTATGTTACTTAGCAATTACAGAATATTTTATAATTATAATACAATACTAGAGAAATAAATGACAGCTGAAATGAGTTTGGGCAATTAATAAAACATATCAATGTGGTTCCACAAAATTTAAAAAACAAACTCTTTATATTAAGAAATAAAATCTTCCTAAAGGAATTAACCTCCAAAAATCATACCATATAATTTGAAGCCAAAAGTATTCAATGAAACTCAACTCAGCAGGTGTTTATCAAGGGCTTTCAATGATAGTTTCCACATATCATTATATGTGCTAGAAAGTGGAGGCTATTAAACAAATGGTGGTTTTTGTCACTCTTGCCTGGTGAGTTATCCCAGACATAAAATTTGTAAACCAGAAAAGCTAGATGCATGACATAACACTTTCCTCACTTCTTATTCATCTCGTAGTGTCCCCTGAGACTATAGTCCTGAGCCCCCATACCAATCGATTCAATCCCTCAAGGTGTTTGGTTATAGCTAATACAAACTTCCATTCTTGATGCAATGCAAATCAGGAAGTATGATCTAAAGATTGAGACTTTCTTTTGATAATTACAAGCCTAGCAATGTCTGACAGCAATGCCAGGTGCAATATTAACTTTCAATAATTAACAGCAAATTGAGAAATAACAAACCTCGATGTTGCTCTCTCAGTGCCTTCTCTGAGGTCATCAAGGGTGCATGTCTTAAGTTTAATGTTGACATTCATTGAACCATCTTTAAACATTTTCCCTGCTGAAGCCATAAGATGTAGTCTGAGTTCACCAAGCCGTAAACTGTCATTATGAAATGAAAGTCTGGATTCCTGTGGAATATTTTTCCAAGAAAAATAATCAATTATATTGAAATATTATGTAACTGCTTTTAAATATATTCCTTAATTCAGATATTAAAGGTAAACTGATTTCACAAATTTTAAAAGTATGGGTATTAATAAACATAAATGGAACAAAAAATAATACTCATGTTTGTGTGTGTGTATATATATATATATATATATACACACATAACATACAAATAAATGCATGTGGGTGTGCACTAATATTCAACAATGTAACCATATATAAAATTAATCTGATTTACAGTACAATGCAAATAAAAATAATCAGAAAACTTCCTCCATTTAATCAATATAACAAACAAATATTTAATAAATTCTTCTGTATAAAACAGTGTGATAAAACCACTATATGGAAAATGAATTTGCTCTGCAAACTTTCACCCAAATCACAATAAAAACTAACTAACTAAATAAAAACAATGTGATAAGAACTATCACAAAGATAAGGCACAGTAGGTCATCTCTTTGAGCTTATGCCCTAATTGAGAAGATAACACAGGAATCTATCAAAAGGAACATCACAAGGAGTTGTTACGAGATGTATATGATTAAATTCCATGTGCCATACTGTCATTAATTTATTCATATTTACATCTCCCCACATTCCTGAAAGGATTTCAAGTAGTTAACTGAAGCTTATAAACAGTAAAAGCACTGAAAGGTCAAAGAGATCACTGAAGGCTGAGAAAAATCCAGGACTTCAAATCAGTTCTGCCTGGTTCAGTCAAGGACAATGAAGTGAGGAAAGAACAGACACAAATTTGTAAAATGTGGGTATACAAAAACAACGGCATTTTTCCAGAACAGGAAAAATTACAGGTCAACATCCTGCTCGGAACTTTACCTTCCTTGTAGAACACAATGGAAACATATGCATTACACAGCAACCAAATTTCTTGACAGGCAGTTAGAAGCATCACTGTCTGCTCAAATATGGCAGCCAACTATACCACTTTGAATGTGTGTCACTCTCCACAGTCCTGGCAATAATCCAATCTTCCACATCAGGCTCCTGAAAGGGCTCATTATGCCTCTTCCAAGTCTTCATTCCAGTGCTTTGACCTGTAATTTTTCCATTCTGGTTATCATTCCAGTATATCCACATTTTACAAATTCCAGTTTGTTCCAATTTTGCTACGTTGGCCACAACTGAACCAGTTCTGACCGGTTTAAAGCACAGGAAAAATCCATTAAAAAGGTTAGAATGTATTTGAGCAGTGGAGGCTGAATAGCACGCAGATTGGCAAGGAGAGGACAGAAGACATTTTATTTGGGAGAAAACCACTCAAGATGTTCTGAGGGTAAAAGTACAGGCTGACTTTAGGTTTGAGTATTTCAATCAAAGAAAGTAGAAATGAGGTTGGAAAGAAGTATAAAGATCTAATCAAGGTATACTGAGCAAATAATCTGAGAAGCTGGTCTATATGAAGAAGAATGCTGCCTCAAAATTGGAGGAAGACTCATAACAACCTGCAATATGAAATGGGAGTTGTGGTGGCACAGTGCCTAAGGCACATGACTGCTACCAGAAGGCTGGCAGTTCAAACCCACCAGCCACTTCTTGGAAGGAAGGTTGGGCAATCTACTTCCTTTGTGATACCACCTCGGAAACCCAAGGAGGGGTCGCCATGAGTTGGGTCTGGCTCGATGGCATATAACAACAATGATATGAGATGACACAATCTTGCTTGTTGAAAGTGGACCTGAAACACTTAATGATGAAGATCAAAGGCTACAACTTCAATATGGATTACACCTCAATACAAAGAAAACAAAAATTCTTGCAACTGGCCCAAGAAGCAAAAGCATGATAAACAGAGAAAAGACTGAAGTTGTCAAAGATTTTATTTTACTTGAATGCACAACCAATAATCATGAAAGCAGTAGTTAAGAAATCAAAGGACATATTGCACTGGGCAAATCTGCTGTAAAAGACCTTTATAAAGTGTTCAAAAGCAAAGATGTCGCTTTGAGGACTAAGTCGTGCCTTACCCAAGTCATGGTATTTTCAAAGGAAGACCAAAGAAGAATTGATGCCTTTGAATTATGGTTGGTGTTGGAGAAGAATACTGAAAATACCAAGAACTGACATAACAAACAAAACTGTCTTGGAAAAAGTACTGTAGAAATGCTCCTCGGAGTGAAGGATGGCTAGACTTTGTCTCACGTACTTTGGACATGTTATCAGGGACCAGTCCCTGGAGAAGGACATCTCCAGGGCAGAGTAGGGTCAGTGAAAAAGAGGAAGACCTTCAGTGAGATGGACTGACACAGTGGCTGGAACAATGACCTCAAGCACAGCAACAACTGTGAGGATGGTGTAAGACTGGGCATTGTTCCATTGTGTTGTACAAAGGTTGCTATGCGTTGGAACTGACTTGGTGGCACAAAATAACAGCCACAACAACAATCATGGTCTCAAATCCTCAATAAAAGATTTACGCTTTCATTTAAGACAAAAAGGACCCCAGTCTTTTTAAGACCATAACATATAGCTCTAAATTCTCCAGGTAAGCCCAGATTTTGAAAGAACAAAAAGCAGCCAATCAACAAACAAACAAAAATCTGCAGCAAAGCGAAGAACAGTCGTAGTTCCTCACTACAGAGCCAAGCTTTGAGAAAAGGGGTGCTTATGATGTGCAATGATTGGCACAGTCATTCAAGAGAGTGAGCAAGATGCTTACTGGGATCAATGCATACACTGGGAAAGCATTCACTCTGGGCAATATCAAATACTGAAAAACTTATAGGGCTTCTTGTGATCTGATGATTGAGTGTCACTGTCTATATTAAAAAATTTTTAAAAATTTCTAAAATACCACTGAGATATTGTCTATTTCAAATTATTATGGCACTAGACCTCAGTTCTTCAATTCTTTAATCTATATCTACTACATGGAATTATTTATTTAATACAACAAAATTAATGCTCATATATCATGGATAATCATGAATTTGAAAATAGACCTGTAAGGCTCTAAGCTTCTTAAATAGTTATATATGCACATATATCTATGTAAAACATTTATACATATAATTAATAACGCATATAAAAATTATTCTGTATCAGATATGGATATAAATGTGCTTTGGTGCTTTACCTAGAAGAAGTAAAACCCAGAGTGCTTTCCCTTAGACTAGTAAGATTAGAAACATTAACAAAGACAAGACTGAAAGCAAGACCAATGCATATGTTACAGGCCAAAGAGAATTTTTTTGTTGTTTTAGGTGCCACAGAGTCGGTTCCAACTCGCAGCGACCCTAGGTACAACAGAACGCAACACTGCCTGGTCCTCTGCCATCCTCACAATTGCTGCTATGCTTGAGCCCACTGTTACAGCCATTATGAATGTCTATCTCATTGAGGGTCTTCCTTTTTTTCACTGATCCTCTACTTTACCAAGCATGGTACCCTTCTCCAGGTAATGTCCTTCCTGATAACATGACCAAAGTATGAGAGATGAAAGAGAATTTTATATATATATTAATGCTTTAAGCAAATGGTCCAAATTTTATATATAATAATACATAACTTTTGTTCAGCAATGTCTAACCACAGTCCTAATCCCCATAACTGTAAAGCCTACAGTAAAAATTTGAGGTATACGATGGTACGTAATAACACATGGGTGCAAGAGTTTGTGATACACATCAAAACACTACTATTATTATTACTATGTTGTTTTTGTTGTTATGTGCCATCAAGTCGATAGCAACCCCTCCTTGGGTTTCTCAGCCAGTATCACTACGGAAGTAGATTGCCCCATCTTCTTTCCGAGGAGTGGCTGGTGGGTTTGAACCGCCAGCCTTCTGGTTAGCAGTCAAGTGCCTTAGGCATTATGCTACCACTATAGTATTACGTTAAAGATGTTTTAGTGTACCTGGAAAGTTTCATGCACAGGAAGATTAATTATATACCATATACCAAGACAATCACTTGACTAACTGCTGTTAGATATGAAGTGTAAGTACCTAACTGTCCAAGCTTACTTAGAAATTTGACTTAAAGACAGATTTAGGAATAGAATTTTTTCATAATCCAGGAACTCCCTGTATATTATAGGGTACTCACACAACATCCAAATCATATAATCTCCTATTTCACTCACTGTATCATGCATACTAAGTAACACACAGCCGTACATATTAATTTTCAACAAATAGTCTCATCTAAAAAATGGCAATATTATAAAACAGAATTATTTTAAAATCAAGAGCTAAATATTTCTAACATCAGATGAACCAGGTAACATCTACTTACCTGGTTGATATCATTATTATAAAGGACAATGGAAAGAGATTCAAAGTGAAAGTCAAACTGGAGAGTGGCACTGTGGTCCACAAGAATCTTTGAATTTGTCACATCTTCTTGTTCTGATGGTTCAAGCATGAATGGGAAAATTAAAAGGCTTTTAAGTAGGCATTTGATTTTATAAATATCTAAAAAGTTGAGATAACAATTTCTTACTCAATTTATATCACACTTTCTAGGATTCTTTAAATCCTATTATGATACAACTCACAAAAACATCAATGATCTATTCCACATATATTTAGTACAGGGCAATGTAGCAGAGGTAGTTTATCTATGTAAAAAGAAAAAAGAAAAGAAGAGGCCTTGCAAAGAATATTAAGACTACTTAAAGAAAACAAACAAAAATATGCCACTGCTAAGCAAGACTACATAGAGTAGTTTATAATTATCAAAGCATTTTGACATAACTGGTAGACACCATCCTCAAGAGATTACAAAATCAGAGGCACAAAAGTCAAATGCTTTGCCCTAGATCAGACAGCGAGTCAGTAATAGATCCTTCACTAGCCCAATGCACTTATTACTACCTTATGTTGCCTAGTTGTTGTTGTTTGCCACCGAGTCGGCCCCGACTCCTAGCGACCCCTCCTTGGGTTTCCGAGGCAGTTATCACTACAGAAGTAGGATTGCCCAACCTTCCTTCCGAGGAGTGGCTGGTGGGTTTGAACCGCCAGCCTCCTGGTTAGCAGTCAAGTGCCTTAGGCACTATGCTACCAGAGCACATAACAACAACAACATGTTGCCTAGATCACTGAACCTGTTACCTATATAAGAAGAACAGAGTATAATTCAATAACAGAATCAAACAGACCTCAAATATAAATTGAGGAGAGATAACTTTGGAATTGTGAAGTAAATAAAAGAGACTTCAAGAAGTCTTTTCCCTCATCTCTAGGCAGAAACTTCATATACATATAAAAATCATTCTTGCTTTCAATCACCTTTTAAAAAGTGATTCTATAATCACTTTTGTAGATTGGTTCTATTATATCTTTGGTCATTCTATAGCAAAGTCTGTTCTTAAAAGTTACTGGAAAAGCAAACATTGCATAACTTTAAGCACAGCAAAGCTTCTCTGAATTGGAAAACTTTGTTCTTTCTTATTTCATTTTTACTAAAGATAATGTACACTCCAATCTTCATCATCTTTGCAGCTCTCTTATGATCTCACATGTTTTCCCAAGTACTGCATTAACCACATAGCCAGGATGAAATACAAGAATCTGAGTACAGCTGAACATAATGAGATCATTAATCACATGAAGCGTGATTGCTACAGTTTATTCATCTCTCACAGTTTCTGCCTAACCATAACAACAGCCTTCTTATCTAGCCTTTGCCTTTATGGCAGCATAAACCCAGCCTCAGAAGAACATGCTGGCCTCAATGAGCTCATGCGGAGCTCACAATGATGCATTTGACCCAAACCTTATTTTGCACATTATTCTAAGTCATTTATTTGTTCTTGCAATTTAAAAATACAGAGGGCCTAACTATAGAAGAAGCAGTGTTGGTAAGGTATTATTAAATGGCAGTTTTATCGATTGCTGTTAGAAGTAACAGCCAATGGTCTAAGAGCTAAATAACAGCACAACAACCTGGGACCATTTATTATAGGTGTAAGAAATTTATTTATTTTTTTATTCTGTACATGTTAGTATTATACCTTTATTTCATTATTTGGATCTAACTTATAATAATAGTAATTGTTTATATTTATTTTGCACTTACCATATGCCAGACACATAAGCATAATATATTATAATGAGTATTTAATTTTTAAGAATATTTACAAGTGTTACAAATTTTTTTTTTTTAAGTACTATACTACCTTAGGGCATACATTTTTATATTCCCAGCAGTATTTTTGGTGCCTGGCACAAAACTTCGTATTTTTTGAATCCATGAAAAAATTAATCCATTTGCAGTCTAAAAAAACCATACAGTATCAATTACTTTAAATAAATAATGAATAGAGTTAAATTATTTTTCACATAACCTGTTTAAGAAAGCAAGAAGTAAACTTATACTTTATAAAAAGTATTATTTAAATATGGCTGAGTTAAAAAGTACTTTTAAAAGACTCAATTTTAGTAATTTGGAAAATTCCCTTGTATCTCTAACTACATCATTAACCAATATAGCAGCAGATAAGTAAAGCTGTTACTCTACAAGAACACCTTTGTTTCTCACAGGCCAGCTGTTTGAGCATGATACCAAGGTCTGTTTCCCTCTTAATTGTTTTGGGTACTTGCTACACTTTGTGCTTAGCTAGCTTGTTTTGCGAAAGTATACCACTTCAGTGCCTGGCAAGGCAAATTCCGCTTTTGTAAGTAAAGGGCAAATGTGCATCATGCAGGCAACAACAGGGGACCCTTCCCCCTATAGTAAACAATGGGCATATTCCCTTCAGAGCCTCCAGAAGCAACCCAGCTCTAACTCCAGAAGATTTTCCATAGTAAATTGTATAGGATTAAATCAGGTCATATCATATTATACTGGACAACTACAAAACGCTCAATATAAATAAATAACACTAATATTTCTCCATAACTGAAGAAAAGTGTTCATCAATTTATACCTTTGAGGAGGTCAGATCCACTTGGGACATCTTCTTTTCTCACTCTTAGAGCCTCCTGGGTAGACTGTATAGGGCTTGGCTGTGAAGAAGCTTCTCCAAGATTTTCCAGCAAAATTTTCATTAGAACTGTTAAGTCATGTTCACTGAGAGCAACCTAGAAAATCATCAACAATTTGTTAGTATAATATGGTTTAAAAAATGCAGAATATTATGTCTCAATTTATGGTTCCACAAATTAACTATCTGTTCCTCTAGTAAAAAGAGACTTGGGACCATAAATACCAGAGAACTATTTCATCTTGTATAGCACGAGGCATACCTTTGTGCTTAAGCACACTTCTGACTCCTCTGCCACCGTATCACTCCTCCTGACTTACCTGTTACTATCACTTCCTGTTCCTGGACCTATGACTCTCTCGACCTCCTCATCTCCAGGCTACCACTCTCTTTTCTCACTTGAGTACCAGCTCCTTCTCTACATTATTTGCTCTTCTCTAAACTCAGTTAAGGAGCTCTGGTAGCATAGTGCCTAAGGCACTTGACCACTAACCAGAAGGCTAGCGGTTCAAACCCACCAGCCACTCCTCAGAAGGAAGGTTGGGCAATCTACTTCCATAGTGTTACCGCCTCGGAAACCCAGGAATGGGTCGCTATGAGTCAGGTCTGACATATGGCACATAACAACAACAAACTCAATTAAGAAGTATGTTGTTCAACAGGGAAGAGGTAATTATGGAGAGGAAGTGGGAGGGAGCTGTTACATCGGGGTAAACTGTAGTCAATGTCATGAGACAAAGTATATGTTAACTGCTGTATGGAAAGTGAATTTGCTCTGTAAACTTTCACACCCAAATCACCATTAAAAGAAAGAAAGAAAGGAAGAGTGGATTTGCTCTGTAAACTTTCACCCAAATCACAATGTAAAAAAGAAAAAGAAGTGTGTTGTTCAGCTTCCAGTCTCCATAAGAACTGCAAATAGATGCTCTTTGGCTATGTAGCTCTTTGTTTTAGTATACATATATCTGATTTTTACAAAACATGTGTTTAACCTATCAAAAATAACATCTCTTAGAACAATAACAAGTCGATCTACACAGAATGTTTTAAAACCAAAACACACACCCGGAAGACAGCATCTTATTCATCTCCCACCTTTAAAAAAGGGAAAAATGTAGCAAAAAAAGAAGGAAAAAGCCAAGAGTCAGGCAGATTTGTTTCAGCTCCACTACTTTCAAGCCTGTTGTTCAAGTGTCTTAACCTCCCTAACTCAAGTTTCCTATCTTTAAAACAGAAATAATAATATCATCTTCCTCACAGGTAACAACAATAGTACGATGCACTGCCATCGAGTCAGATCCGACTCACAGTGACCTCTCCTTGGGTTTCTGGGGTGGTATCTCTATGGAAGTAGATTGCCCATCCTTCCTTCCTAGAAGTGGCTGGTGGGTTTGAACCACCAGCCTTCTGGTTAGCAGTCAAATGCCTTAGGCACTATGCCACCAGACCTCCCTTGAATTCATTCTATGAAGCCAATGCCATGTAACACACTGCCCTTGAGTTGGATCCTCACAGGTGTTGTGAAAATAAAAAGCAGTTAGAATAAATAAAGCTGCTACCATTAAATCTGTAATTCCTTTGAACCTTTTTATCTCTCTACCGTTTGTATATTTTCCATACACAGATAGTTGTCTGAAAGGCCTGTTTTACACAAACTCACACATTCATGCATGCATATACAGCACCTTCTCCTGTGAATGTCACAATACTCTGTCCCTCAAATTAGGAATAATTGAGTATTTTTATTAAATTATAGCCAGGGAAATTGCCTGGCTCCCAACCTAAATGAAAATGAGAAGCTGTTTTAACATGAGATAATGACTAAGGATTTCTTGTTTGCCCCAAGCAAGCTTTGTAGAACATCCTTCTGTGTCCATTCTCACTTGTAATACCAACCACGACAGCATAGCTGTTTGAAGAGCAGCTAACTTCACTACCTCCTTTGGTTTGCTGTGGGTGAAAAACAACTGGATTATATACTTACACTGAACTTCAGTAAGACCAAAGGACAATTTTGAGAGGCAGCCCCACAGTTCTGTCATGGAATTATTAAAACTTATCTACCCAAAAGAACTTGTTAGTGTCACCACCCTGAGGATAGCTTTTCTTAGCTGCAGGAAAACTTATATAGCCTATGACGAGAGAAGGATTATTTAGAGATGCCTGGATTGCTGACAAATTAGGCAGCAGAGGTTTACCCACCGTGGATGCATTCTCAATTGACCAAGGGTCCTTTTCATTAAAGTAATGAATCTCATGTTGCTTTGATGCTAAATTGCTGGACCTTTTTTTTTTCTTCCCCCCTTGTTTCTTTTGAAATACTTTAAGCATAAAGGATAAGTGTAGAGAATACTATAATCATCCTCTGTGTACCTACCATCTAGCTTTGTCAAAACTCAACAAATTACTACATGTCCTTTAGATTTTTTTCCCCATTATAGATACAGGTGAAGTCTCAATGTGTACCTCTCTGAAACCCCATTTCCCTTTCTCCTTTCTTCCCCAGAGAAAGATACTACCTGAATTAGGGAATTATTAGTCTCATAGATGCTTTCTTACATTTATCACCAATGCATTCTCCATAAACAACATATAGTGTTGCTTTGCATACTGCAAAATTTGAAACAACATAAAACTGTACAATAATTTTACCACTTATTTTTTCCATATTTTAAATTTGATCCATTTTATTTTAAGGAGTTCCAGTTCCATTCACTTTACCTGCTTTGTAATGCCCATTGTATAAATATACCATAGGAGCTCTGGTAGCATAGTGCCTAAGGCACTTGACTGCTAACCAGAAGGCTGGCGGTTCAAACCCACCAGCCACTCCTCAGAAGCAAGGTTGAGCAATCTACTTCCACAGTGATACTGCCTCAGAAACCCAAGGAGGGGTCGCTATGAGTCAGGTCCAACTCCACGGCACATAACAACAACAACAGTTAATTCACTTTACCTGCTTTGTAATGCCCATTGTGTAAATATACCCTAATTTTATCCATACTGTCCTACTAATGGACATTTAGGCTTTTCTTTTGCTTTCAGCAAATCTATAATGGGGAAAAGTCAACTCATGCAATTTTGAAAAGAAAGGAAAAGGGTCTAATCTCTTAGCAGTAAAGAAGAAATTAAGAGAAGGAGTCCATACTTTGGCATGGAGACTTCTCTGTGAATTCCCTAAATGATTATAATTCAGCAACTCTTCCTCATATAATATATATTCATATATACATATAAGAATCTTGTACTCCCACAGCAAACTTCAACTTTAACTCCTTCCTTATTACAACTTTGTTCCTTTATTCCTCCCCATTTTATCTTAGAACCAACTCTGAAATAATCACAGACATTAAAAACAACTAAAATACTACATTTTAATTTCTTTTTCACATACTTTATTTGTTTATTCTTCCTCTTCACCCCATTCCTCACTGTCTGGTTTCCTCACTGTTTCATGAAGGAATAGCAGATTTCCCCTCAGCTTTCAAGACCCTGAGAAGAACTAGATGATGCCTGGCTACCAATGCTGACCACTTGGAAAGAGATCAAAATTGGAGATCCTTGATAGTGTGGGAGGGAAAATGTGGAACAAAATTCAAAAAGCACAAAAATAACCACAATTACTGGTCAGATGGAGACTGGTGAAATCTTCAAAACTATGGCCCCAGAGTATCCTTCGGGCCAAGAACTGGACTCACTTCCGTGGATTAGCTCTCAGCCAAATAGTAGAAAGGCCTACAAGCAGAACACTTACCTCAGGAGATGCACCTACCTACCCTAGGGAGACCTTGGGAGCTCTGGTAGCATAGTGGCTAAGACATTTGTCTGCTAACCAGACGGCTGGCGGTTCAAACCCACTGGCCACTCCTCGGAAGGAAGGTTGGGCAATCCTACTTCCGTAAACAACAACAACAACCCTAGGGAGATGTATCCCTTAGATCAATCAACTGTGAGACAACAGAAGGGCAGCATTTGCATAGAGGGAAAGTTGGACAGATAGGAAAGCAGAGATAAGAAGGACACAGGGAGGGGGCAGTCACAGGGAGATGGGAGGAGAGCTTTTTATCGTTGAGATTGTATTCGGGCATGAAACCAAAAGTACATAAACTATTGAGAGTGAAAGGAATCTGCTTTGCAAATTTCCACAATGAAAAACTAAAAAATTAAAAAAAAAAAAAAAAGAATCACAGGTTTCCTATACTTCCATGATCATCTTCAACCAGTCTTATCTCCTCCTGTGAGCCTACATATAACCTGCTCACTATACTGTTACAAGTTGTGCTACATTTATATGCATACCAAATAAACACATATGCCTATTTAAAATGATATCCATTATTCTAAGTAAAAGAGGATCTATACATATTAAAAATATTTGTAAGGTGCTTTGACTCTCACCATCACTATGTACTGTTTTACAATTTGTTGTTAGCTGCTGTTAAGCAGATTCTGACTCAGGAGCCCTCATATGTCAGAGCAAAACTGCTCCGTGGGGTTTTCAAGGCTGTGACCTTTTGGGAGCAGACTGCCAGGGCAGTACTCAAACTCTTAAATGTTTGCACCATCCAGGGATCACGGCCTTGAAACTTTTAATAGTAGACTCCAATTAAATTTTATCTCATAGTTCTTGTTAGCTTTATGAAATATCTGACTAAAATAAGTAAGTATGGGAAAGTTTTTGTTGTTGTTGTTATGTGCCGTCGAGTCGGCCCCGACTCATAGCGACCCCTCCTTGGGTTTCCGAGGCAGTATCACTACAGAAGTAGGATTGCCCAACCTTCCTTCCGAGGAGTGGCTGGTGGGTTTGAACCGCCAGCCGTCTGGTTAGCAGGCAAGTGTCTTAGCCACTATGCTACCAGAGATGGTCTTATTTCCAGTTAGCAAAGTATTCCCTTTTAACGTATCATCATTTTCTGATGTACATTAGAACTGTACTGTTAGTGATACAAGCTTATCTATCAATTTTCATATATTTCAGACATATACTTACCTGCATAGGTTTTAATTTTCCTTTTATCTCCATGCCTGGAATTTGCACATACCATGCTGCTGCTAAATTTCGCTGTATGGATAAAAGCATGTTGACTGGTTTTAAAATTTCAATTTCATGTTTTGCCAAGTCAGCCTGTAAAATAGTTCTGAAAGACAAACAATTATATATACATATAATTTTTTTTTTGAAATGACATCTACTATATTGTGTATTAGTTTCCACATAGCATTTTCTTCAAGGCTACCAAAATTCTTTAGAACATGCTTCCTCTCACAAATCAGTCAGAACCAGAATATATAAATCAAGTTTATATGCAGAGCTACCCAAAATAAAGCCTATGTAACACTGATTTCAAAGACACAAATGTTATAAAGTGTAACTTGCATTATTTACTCTTTGGGGGGAAAAAGTTTGATATAGCAAGTAGTGCAATGTTACACAAACAAATATTATACTCTCGTAAAATTGGAAGATAAAAACAGCAACAATCTATTTAGCCTTTGGCATTACTCTTCTCCAAACTTACAGTGAAAAATTCAACAAAACTAAAAGATAAACAAGCATATAGTAATAGTCGTTTCCAGCTTGCCACTAATGACTATTTGCACAAACAAATGCTGAAAGTATTCTTGCCATTCCAGAGAGCCAACAACTTCACACATGTGGATTATATTCATTTAGATACCTCACTGAGACCCAGATGTGATATATCGGAAATGAGAAATCTCATATTTTACTACATTTTAGGAAGTTTTGGTTCATCTACAGAAAAAGAAATAGTTGTGTGCAACATTATGAAACAAACTAAATGAACAATTATTGAGTAAATTATAATTTTATAATAGAGAATTTTTATAAAATGGAAAAATCAAATTATAAATTTTAGTAAGACAAAATGCAGATTCCATGAGACACACTACCATTAACCAATAGCTAAAAAACAATGTTCAAGGTTTCATGATCAGAAGAAATAAGGAATAAGAACCACAAATCACAGAATTTTACTCCCGATAAAAATTCTGTGAAGTTTATGTTTCAACTTAAGCAATATACAATTAGAGTGTATATTTATACCTGGACAGCTTCAAGTGAGTGAGCTGTATGTTCATTTTGTCAATGACTGGGGGAAGAGAAGAATGTTCCACAGGGACCAAGCTAAACTTGTTCTCAATCCTGATTAAGCCCAGATCTGCTATAACAGCATTAGGTGATACTGAAGACTGAGGAACAATAATAACTGGGGCTTTCAAGTTGATATCCATCAAAAGGCGGAAACTCTTTTGAGCCAAGTCTTTCATGCTAGAAGCAGCTTTTTCTGCAGCTTGGACTGTGGCTGCACTCAAAGCTTCTTTGGCAGTTTGGAAATTGTTGAGGAAGTTCTGTTGGAAGAGATCATTATTTAGAGAGTTCCTAAAAAGGGGTTTATTTTTAAAAGGCAAAAAAAATTAAAGCATTTACCTTAAAGAGGCAATATTAAAGAGATGTTATATTTACGATAATATATATGGAGATACATTCTGATCTATTAACAATAGCTACCTCTGTGAAGGAAGAGTCCTTTACCTTTTATTTTATATATATTTGGTTTTTATGACATATTTCTTAAAGCTCTTTTTAATTAATGAATGTTGGTCATTTTAAATTCAAATGTAAATGAAAGAGATGAAGGAGAGTCCTTTAAGTCTCCCAAAGAGGGTTAAATTCTGTACCTCTAGTTTATAAGAACGAAGTTTATTCCTGGAAACCAAGGTTCTGACATGTTATTTCTGAAGATTAATTTTTGTACATGTACTCAGGTGTGAGCAAAGAAAGTTAGGTCATTACGATCCTCAATCCATAATAAGAGTCAATACTTCTTTATTTAGGGTAAGATGCACTGCCTCTCAACTTCAACTAAAAATGAAAACATTTTCCCAATGAAAAAAGATCATTCTTAGAAGCAATATATTCTTGATGCTCAAGCATTAACAATACAAAGCAATTTAGTTCCCCCATTCCCAAATAAATTACTTTCCAGAAGAATAAAACATGATGTTTTACGTAGAGATCCACTGCTTATAAGCTTTGATAAGCACATCTGCTGAAAGCAGTGTGCCCTGCTGGGGAGAGGCACAGGCAGATGTAAACCCTTTTGCTTACATGGAAATAATTGAAAAAAAAAATATTTTCCATGGCTTTGCTGATCGTAATTATAATAAAAAACTGTAAGTTATTATATTAGTCCTTTAAATACCCGCTGAGCTTCTTAAAAAACTCTCTTAACTACATATCCATAAAGTTATTTCATCATACAAGTAACACCGGAAAGCTCTAAATTAAAGTATCAGAAAGTACTTTTAAATATAAAACTATGAATTTTTTTCTAAAATATAGCTTACATGTACAGAACAATTTTAAAAATTCACTTGCTTATCCATCATTATAAAGGATTTTCTTAACTACGATACATTTCATTCAGCACTTGGTATTTATCCCACAGCCCTAAAAGTAGCAATTTTGATGATATAGGTTCAGATGTATAGGCAGAGACATTTAGGCCTCAATGAGAAATAAAAACATTTAAAAAAATAAACTTACCAAAAGAGACATGAAGAATTTATGAACATAAACAATTTGAATACAACCCACTTTGAGACTAAGTTTGCCATCTACTTTAGACATATCAGCATAGGCCTCTCCCTCTGTAGTGTCTGGGTAGAAAGTCATTTGGAATCTAAAGACTTCATCTCCCAAAATAGAGACAGCCTAGAAGTATTGGATTAATTGGTTATTATATCAAAGAAGCTGTATCATTGTATTATAAATATGTTCTCTTATTACAGAATCTTGATCTATGAAGAAGCAACATTTAAATTCAACCTTAAACAAATTATTAAAAAATATTTTGCTTGCCAATAACTTAATTCCTATTCCACCCCCCCCACACACACACACACAATAACAATGGGAAATATCAATTACTTAACTGGCCAGAAATTACTTTCACAAATCATTGTGTATCAGGAGGCCTAGGCTACATGCAATGCAAAAGCAGACTATTAGCATTTTCATCTTAATTCCTAACAAAGTGTTCAACACAAACAGTAAATGTATACTGAACAAGTAAATAAAAGCATCTCAAATCCACAGAAAAAAAATAAATTTCCATAACGAAAACTTTTTAATCACCTTTTTGTGAATGGACAGCAAATCAACATTTGTAACTACAATATCCTTCAGTCTGGCAAAGACATCAGTCTGCTTTGACTTCATAGAAACAGAGGCATCCATTCCTATGGGAAACATAACATTTACAAACTTTTCCCCAACCTAAGTGGTGTTTAAGTTCAATAAGTGCTACCAAAGTATGTTGTTGTTGTTGTTGTGTGCCTTCGAGTCAGACCCGACTCATAGCAACCCCTCCTTGGGTTGCCAAGGCCATATCACTACTGAAGTAGATTGCCCAACCTTCCTTCCAAGGAGTGGCTGGTGGGTTTGAACTGCCGTCTTCTGGTTAGCAGTCAAGTGCCTTAGGCACTATGCTACCAGAGCTCAGAAAAATTTTTCACTACTAGACATATAAAAGGAGCTCTGGTAGCATAGTGCCTAAGGCACTTGACTGCTAACCAGAAGGCTGGCGGTTCAAACCCACCAGCCACTCCTTGGAAGGAAGGTTGGGCAATCCTACTTTCGTAGTGATACTGCCTCGGAAACCCAAGGAGGGGTCACTATGAGTCGGGGCCGACTAGACGGCAAACAACAACAACAACAACAGACATATTAAAAGTATCAACTTCTATACATGCAATACCTAAGAACGATTGCAATACCTTTAAGTGCTACAGGCATCCCATACATAATATTTGTGTCAACTTTATGACTAAAAACACAAACTTCAAAGAAAATTAAATAGTTTTCCAAATACAAACATCTCGTGCATTGCCAAGATTGGAAATGATCATCAAGAAAGAGATATAATGTTTGTTATTAAAGTCACCTCACATTTATTATATTACAAAGTATTTCTCTAGTAACTAAGCATAATGAGTATCAGTTGACCCATAAGTACTCTCATTTCTATAGCAAACTGTAATTAGAACAGTCTTGTAAGATGTCTCTCAAAAAAAATTTGTCATTCTCATAATTTCTAAAGGCATAATGATTTCTAAAATTGCTCCTCAGTACAGAGAGAATGCCTGTACCTAAGACCCAGTAAAGACCCCAAACCATTACCATACTGCCCATAAAGGAGACACTTTGTAATATTTGTTGAAAAAAGCTCATTTTTTAAAAACTCTTTTTAAACTAACTATGGAGAAGGCACTTTTCTAAATAAATGTGAACTTATTTAATACATGTAAACTTATTTCATCCTAAATATAACCTCATGAATAATAATTATTAACTCCATTTTACAGCGGAGAGAACTAAGGCACAGAAAGGTACATTAATTTGCTCAAGGTCAACCAGTAAATGAGAGAGCCAGGACTCAAGCCTTAGTAGACTGGCTCCAGAATACATGGTACAATTTGAATTATTACACAAAGCTGCCTCATTCTAATCTCAAGCTAATGATGGAGAAACTTACAAAATTTATTTTAGAAACTTCTTTTCCTGATGCTTCAAATACACACACACACACAAACCCACAGAAAAATAAGGATAACAACATTTTCTATATCCGGTGAGATATCACCAGGATATGCACTGCTCAGTTTAAATTATATTATTCTGAAAATGCAACTAGAAAAATAAGAGATTATGCCTTATATTTATTCTAAAATTTTTCAAATACAAAATGATTTATGTCAACTATGAATCATAACAAATTTATTTCTAATATGAGAAAACACATCTTTGAAAAATCTGCAGGGTCTTCAATGGAAGCAAACAAAAAGATTTCTTATGGGAGATCCACTACATATAAAGTCATTTTTCCTGATGTCTATGCAAAGATACAGAAATTGCTATACCAAGGTGAAAATACTTACCCTGTATTCTAATATCTGCAATGTTACACTTCTGATCACAGACAAAGATATTAAATGCATTTAATTCAGCTATGACCTTTAAATCAAACACATCACCTTGAGAAATGTTGCTGGATACTGAAAAGTAATGGAAACCTTATGATTAACAAAGTGCAAAGATGATATAACACATAAAACAATCTCAAATTAACTAAAATAAAGTACACTATATACTATGAAGAACCAAAAAGGCCTCCACTAAGATAGCATATAATTAATATGGATTTTTGATCAATTTTCAAATGCCAATCAGACAAAAACTAGCACGTCCCTCTCCAAATAGAATCCTGAAAGCACAATTTACTAGATGGAAACTTTACTGTGATTTTTTTTTTTCTGAGAAGAAAGAAAACCCTCTACATAAGAATTCTGTTAGTCACAATTTTTGATTCTGAAATTCTATTCATATCACAAATTAAAGAATAATAATCTACAAAAACTGAAATAGTAATGAATAGTTAATAAAATATGTCATTTACTACAGCACTTATACTACGTGTTGGTCACCATAGAGCCAATTTCTCTATATTATATATTACTACTTCTCTACAAAGAATTATTTTTAAAAATTCTATAAGAAAGCAACATAAAGGGCTAAAGTTAAAAAAAAAAATTTAAGTACACCAAAAAATAAATATTTTATAATATGTGTGCTTGTAGGTATACGAATCACAGTGGAATTGGTTCCCTTAATCTAATTTAGTCCAGGTTCAAATTGATAAATTTCAGACACATTTTCCTAGAGATTTGTCTTGCCTGAGGGAACCAATCCTTTCCTATAGCACTGTAAAAGCCTGGGGGATATCATTCCTTAGTCACCAGTAAGATGACAGGTTCTTTTCCCACCTCCCCTTAACCTATAACGTAGAATAATCAAACCATAAAAACCAATTGTATAGCGTAACTGGGAGACTGTTTGTTTAGATTAATATTAATTGTAGTTTACTGTGAGTTTAAACATTGGTTTTTCACTTATTCAACCCTGTTGGTTAGGTACTATATGGTTATGTTATATAAAGCATCAGCATTTCTAAGGCTATTAATACTAACAGTGTATTAAAGACAAAGAAGGTAAAATTCTTTTACTCTAGTATACAACAAAAGGGTTGCCCTGTTCCCTTGTTAAAAATCAATCAATCAATCAATCAGACCCCTGCATCAGATTTAACAGTAATCAGTCATTTTGAGGATGCCAGAAATATCAACATAATTCAAACTGGTCATGGTCTGAAAACCAAATTATTAGATGTTAGATATGCATATCAGTCACTTTATATAAAATAAAAATAATTAAAATTATATTTGGCATAACAAAAGCAGGCACATATTCTTTATTCACTCAAGGTATTTCCCATACAATATTTCGTAACATAAGTCATATGTCTGAGGAATATGTGCTCCAAATCTATGTGAGATTTAAATATAGTTTTGGTTAGAAAACAAAGTGAGTCTGTCTCTTCCCTGAGATCCCTCCCATGTTCCTGGAAGCACTTAACAAGAGTGTTGAGTACCAGAAAGTTTTCTTGACTGACTGAAATGGGCCCTTGCTACTATATAAGATTGTATTCATATTTAAATCTCTTCCTTTTTCACTTTCATTGGATTGATGGCTACAAAGTAATATGAATGCATAGTACATAACGGTTTTTATTTTATGTAAAAGCTAAATGGTGAAATCAAATATATATACATGATCAATATTAAACAACACGTCTTTAAATTCCCCTACTAAATCACCCTGCAATTCTACAGGGATAAAATTTGCTTTGTTTTGAATCTAACCTAATCTGTCAGGGCAGCTGTAACTTCAAGGTAATAATAATACTCATCTTAGCTTGAAAATAAAAGTTATTACATGATTATTAAAGTTCAGATAGAAAGTAGTAGACTACAACTCAATAATTAATACCGGCTTTTAGAGCAATACTTCTGGACTCCCCCACAGGTAGTTTCAGCTCAGATTCCTTCTCAGAAGGGGAAGGTTCAGAGGATGGAACAGCAGATGATAAAAAATCCATTAAGGACAGTAAAGCTTCCAAATGAAGTACTAAGTCTAAGGATGAAAATGAAACCTAGGATAATACAATTAGAGAGGCAGATTTTAGATACGGTAATGTTTTTAGGTTCAGCTTCAATATACACAAGTAGTACAAGAACAGCTCAACTGAAAGTTTTTCAAAAAAGAAAAAGTTCATAATTACCATGCTTATCCTTAATAGACAATAAACCAACACTCTGTCCAGCCCCCCCACACATGACTCTATGCCTGACCCTAGCTGAACTTGGTAAATTTTTCAGGCCTTAAGGCACATTTCAGAGGTTTCCAAGGCAGACTACATAGTGTAAATGGACTAGTCTATACTAAGCCATGCTTTCATCTTGTTCTTAATCTTATTCTAATCTTGAAGCTAATACGTAATTCAATGTTTTAATGCTTTCATCAACACTAGGCCTAATAACCACAGTGGACCAACATGAAAAATGTTCCCTTAAAAAATGTATTATCTGTGTTCTCAACAAGTAATCATTAATTCATCTCTGGAAAACAATTAATATTTTAGGATTTGAATCAATTTTTTGTAATTTTTTAAAATTTTCAACTTATTTCAACTGCGTTATCTCATATATCCACTACAAAATTAGATCTATTTTTATTGCCACCCTTATTCTAATTTTAGAATGCAATCTCACTAGTACAGCTGGCTCTGAAGATAGATTTATTTAATCATTACCACAACACAGTCTTATAGTGAATGACCAAAGATTACCTTCATTCTCTGTTTGGTATTGTCATGAATGGTTTTAAATTCTGGTCCATCACTGTCTGCCTACAAACAATAGAGGATTAAATAAATGGGCTGCAAACTCTAAAATTCACCTATTGAAAACACACATATTCTTTTCTCAGACTAGGCTATTATAAAACTATAAATATCACATGTTTCTTAAAGGCAAAGAAGAACTTGCCAAACAAATTGATCTGACATAAGCTTATCTCTCATGTTCTATAAAAGCAAAAACTAAAATTCTTTCCCATATTGGGGAGGGAATACTAGTATATCTAGCTTACAATAAATTTTGGTTTGGATTAAAACAGAATTTTGTATTATTCCCTTTTATTCAACAACAAAGGGTAACTCAGAGGTTTAATGAAGGAATCCAAGATTGCCGGATGCTTGTATAATTCCACATAGTCCAACAGTTTTAGAATTTTAAAAATAGAGGAAAAATTTAAATATGACAATTGGGGAGGGGACTGTTATACATAAAAGGCTCCCTAGTGGTACCATGGTTGAGCACTTAGCTGGTAACCAAAAGGTTGCTGAGTTTGAACCCCCTAGTGGTTCTGTGGGAGAAAGATGTAGCAATCTGCTTCTGTAAAGATTACAGCCTGGAAACTCTACGCGGCAGTTCATAGGGTCGCTATGAATTGGAACCCACCTGACAGCAACAGGAATATACCCAACTCTTTATATTTCAATATTTTTAAATCCTAGTATTGAAGCTAGGTACCTTTGTCAATAACATTTTCAGAAGGGGTTCATCAGTTACATTAGAAGAGTTAATAATGTGCAGAGGTTCTCCTTTAGAGTCTAAAAGAGAAAAAGACAGGGTTGATCCATCAAATCTTTTCAACATTTCAAATGTGCTTTAAAATAGGACAAGCCAAATATTACATATGACAATGGGGGAGGGGGTGTTATCCATAAAAGGCTCCCTGGTGGTGCCATGGTGAAGTACTTAGCTAGTAGCCAACAGGTTGCTGAGTTGCTGAGTTACACAAACATATTTGTCAAAACTCACAGAACCATACATTTAAAAGGATGAATTTTACTATATACTAGCTATACCTCAATAAACCTATGGTGGGAAAAAAATTAACTGCAGAAAAACAAAAGCACCAGCCAATTAATACTGTTGTAACTTTTAGTACTACTGGTATTACTCATTTGAACAAATCATAACATATTAAACAACAACAACAAAAACCAAACTCACTGCCGTCGAGTCGGATGTGACTCATAGCGACCCCTCCTTAGGTTTCCGAGGCAGTATCACTACGGAAGCAGATTGCCCAATCTTTCTTCCAAGGAGTGGCTGGTGGGTCTGAACCGCCAGCCTTCTGCTTAGCAGTCAAATGCCTTAGATGCTATGCCACCAGAGCTCCCAAACCACAAAAGCTATAAAATACATAAACTAGGGATTATTCTCAACATAATTTGCTTTACCCAAAGGTATCCCAAAGAGTCCCTATACACTCTAAACGTACATGTTGTTGCTGTTATGTGCCATGGAGTCGGACCCGACTCCTAGTGACCCCTCCTCGAGTTTCTGGGCAGTTATCACTACTGAAGTAGATTGCCCAACCTTCCTTCCGAGGAGTGGCTGATGGGTTTGAACCGCTAGCCTTCTGGTTAGCAGTCAAGTGCCTTAGGCACTAAGCTACGACACCTCCTCTAAACATAAACAGCAATTTTACACATTGGTTTGATATAATTTAGAAAGTAGATTTAAAAGGTCAACAGTAATTACTAAACAATAATTTAGTATTTATTTTGGGGGACAACAACGAGACTACCTTTTTCTCTACAATGCATACACATATGCATTGTTTAATTTATTTTTCACAAGCACATATTCATGAATCAAAAACAAAACATGTAATTTAAAAATAAATAAAAGGCAAATACAAAGTTATACTTCCTAGTAAATTAACTCATCTTTTTAAAAGGTGTCCCTGGGCTCTGTACCTGAGTGTTCTACCTGGATTCTGATTGCCTAATATGTCAGTTCTCACAGCACAGTTAAAAATAAATTGTTGATTTTTTTAATAAGTACTGAAGTGTTATGTATAGACATTGAAGACAGATGCGTCATTTTTTAGACACTTTACTTCATGTTAAACAGATGTTTTAAATATATTCTTATTTTATGTTAAGTAACCGGGAGCTCTGGTGGCATAGTGCCTAAGGCACTTGACTGCTAACCAGAAGCTGGCGGTTCAAACCCACCAGCCACTCCTCGGAAGGAAGGCTGGGCAATCTATTCCGAAGTGATGCCGCCTCAAAAACCCAAGGAGGGGTCACTATGAGTCAGAATCGACTTGAGGGTAGTGCGTTGCATTGTTGTTGCTATGTTAAGTAACTATGTAAGATAGTGTTTTAAAACATCAAATTTCTTTTTATCAGAATACTAAATTTAATGTAACTAAATTATTATGGTAACACTTTTAAATACACTTCATGTTGATAAAAAGGTCAGGAGCCCCTACTTACTAGAGTAATTTACATAGCATATATCATATACTTACCAGTGAAATCAAAGCATCGCATAGTAATTTTTTTCAGAAAAGCTTTAGCAGTCGTGTCATAGGTTTTAACTCTAGCTTCCATTCCAAGCTGCAGCACATTTAGTTCATGTACAGGCTTTCCTTTCTTTTCTCCTTTTTTCATCAAAGTAACCATGACCTAGAAAAAGAACCAATATTAACACAAATTTCACTAATTACCATTATTTCACTACTACACTTGAAGATAAATCAACATTTTAATAACCATCCAGAGATACAATAAAAACTCACACAGTGGAAAGATGTTTACATACTTCTATTTGTGTTTGCAAATGTAGTCTAACATTATTTACCTTGGCACTTACTTCTTTAGATTTCTAAAGCACTGCTAATCCAGTCTAGTAGTTTTAAAAGGTAAAGATTTTTTTTTTTTTTTCTTTAAAAAAAAAAAAAAAAGGCAGTTAGGCCTAGCTTGCAAGACTTCTTGTCTGATGGATGATCTTCTGCCTAAAGGTCTGTGAGACCAAGAGCCAATTTTAATACTACTCCTAAGGCAAGATTTCTCAATTGTGGCACTACTGACATTTTGGGCTCTGTCATTCTTTGCAGCACGGGGCTGTTCTCTGTATTGCAGAATGTTTAGCAGCATCCCTACTTCTGCCCACTAGATTCCAATGGTACCCCCCACACACACCTAGGTTGATGAAAATATCTCCAGATATGCCAAATATCCCTCCAGTAGGGCAAAATTATTCCACTCATCTCCTAATCACTCTCCTAAGGGGCGGGAACTGGCATAATATATTACAGATGATATTAGAAAGGACTTACAGGTTTATATGTACGTATGTTAAGGAAGTGTATTTATTAATAGAATATTTTAACGTTTCAATTATCAAGGCTTAAAATCTACAGTAACTCTGATAATAATCAGTAAAATAGTAGAGGTTTTAAAAGTAGAATCCTTTTGTTTAAAACTTTTATTATTTTTAACTAGGAAAAAGACCATAACCTCTATACAGGTATTTAATGGGGAAGGGTTTTGGAGGAAGCTCTTATAAGTCACTGTATCCATCCCCTTATTATTTCTTACATAGTCTCACCTTTATATGTCTAGTCCTCTTTCTACCCTGTCCCAGCCCCTTTCGTCATCCCTTTTTCACCAATCATACTTCACTCTTCTGTAAAAACTCAACTCAAATGTTACTTACTCCAAGTAATCTGCCCTGATTCCTCTCAGGTTGCTTAGCTGGCCTCCCTCCCAACACTAACATACCCTCCAAAAGCACCGGGGTACATTTTCATGAGTGCAGTTACAAAAACTTTAAGTGTTTGTTTTCTTATTTGAGTTCCGAGTCTGTTCCCTTCATTTTTATATACTTAGCACATAGTACATACAATGAATATTTGTCAAATGTATGAGTAAAAAATTCACCTGTCCTCAAGAGACTTCAGATAGAAAGCATATACTGATAATTGGAAAAAAAAAAATATAGACATACTATGGTTTTCTATTCTATTAATGATTTCTACAATTTGCAAAGAATTTCTTTTGTCTCTGCTTCATTTTCTACCTATTTGATACGAAATCCAAAGCACATGATATTTTGACTGCCCTAAAATCATTCAAAAGCATGTTACAGAGCATGCTACCACATTTTCTATGAAATAGTATATTTTCCAAATATAACTCACCTTTAATAGAAATTTTTAAACATCACTCTATATGTAATTAGTCTATGCAAAATTTTTATCCGTATCAATAACCCACAAATTTATTTTAGTAGAGGCGAGTACTTCCAAGTATCCATTATATATTCATTTCATTTTACAAAAACAGATGAAAATTACACACCTCTCTGATTTCAAAATTCAGCAGCATAGTAATGATGTCTACAGATCTAATTTCTTCCACTCCAGCTGTTAAAGTATCTTGTGAAGCATGTGCATTTAGTTGTATTGTAGAGATTTCAAGATCTTTAATTTCACCTAAAGATGTTTAAAAGAGATTAATTCATTCCTATTTACACATTTCTTCCATGAACATTTATTGAGGACTTATATGAGAGCATTCAGTGCTTGGTGCAGGCACTGAAAATTCACAAACCAGTATGGCATACCTCCAGTCCTTAGAAAATTAAAGGTTAGATAGAATAAAGATATGTGTTCAAAACACAAACAAACAAAATAAGCAGTTCACATCTAGGATATTAAGTGAATAAATGTTGATAGACATAGAATAAGTTTTTTTAATGACAAAAAAATATAGGAAATACCATTTTCCACTTAGCAAATTGGCAAAAGTAACAAAAAATCAGGTAATGCGTGTACAATGTTAGAAAACGTTTAGAATAAGAAATAGGTGAGCCTAAAATTTATATAGGTTTTTTAGACATCAAATGTTAAGATCAAATTTTTCATTGTAGATGCTGTTTAATCCAGCAGTCCTGGCATTTATCCTACGTATAAGGGTATTTAATACAACACAGTTTGTAACAGTAGTGACAGCCTGGAAATGATCTCAAATGTCCAGAAATAGGAATCTATTAAATAAATTATGACACTTCAACAGAATTTGGTATCAGACAGCCATTACAAAGAATGAGGTAGATCTATGCATACAGATATGGGATAAACATCAACATATATGTTATTTTAAAAAGATAAAGCAAAATGCATAAACATATATGTATGTGTGTATGTATCATATGTATATATGATATATATATAATGCTATCATTTATATGGAAAAAATGTGTGTGTGTATGTATGGAGAGATGTATACACACACCGTTTAAAAATACGTGAGGAAATTACTTTGTCTTCAAGTTCAGAGAGCCATTGCAACTAATAATTTCAATTCTGTTAGCACTTTTATTTCAAAATATTTTTTTCAGTATCTTTGAGAGAATAATTTATCAGCCATTGTCATCTCTTAGAGATACTTAAGTCTTAATAAAATCAGATCAAGGATGCTTCCATCGCCTAGTAACAAATCAAAACAGTTTATATACACATACATACATATACATATATATACATATATAAATCCAGTAACTATTCTAAAACTCAATCACTGATTTGAAAACTTTCTTTAGAGCCTCTTCCCAATTCACGCAAATTAGAACAAAGTCTGAAACTGACTGCTTAACTATAAAAAAGATCGTTCATCTCCAACTATGGCTTTATTTATTAGGATCTTGTCTTTCTGGTCATAACATACATATATATGTATGTATGTGTGTGTGTGTGTGTATCTATACATATACACACACACATACTTATTATTTTAAAAAAAAACACTGTCATCAAGTACATTCCAACTCCTAACAACCATACAGGACAGAGCAGAACTGTCCCATAAAGTTTCCAAGGCTGTAAAACTTTAGGGTAGCAGACTTCCTGATCTTTTTCTCACAAAGCACGTGCCATCATTTTGGTTAGCAGCGCAATGCTTTAACCATAGCACTACCATATATATATATATCGTGTATAAGATTTTATATATATACACACACACACACACACACACACACATATATATGTATGGGAGCTCTGGTAGCATAGTGCCTAATGCACTTGACTACTACTAACCAGAAGGCTGGCAGTTCAAACCCACCAGCCACTCCTCAGAAGGAAGGTTGGACAATCTACTTCCACAGTGATATGGCCTCGGAAACCCAAGGAGGGGTCTCTATGAGTCGGGTCTGACTCAACGGCACTTAACAACAAACAACAAAATACGTATGTGTGTATGTGTGTGTGCATGCGCGTGTGTGCGCATACACACACACATGTATATATGTGGCTACATATATATACACTATTACTTATACTGGGAGCTCTGGTAGCCTAGTGCCTAAGGCGTTTGACTGCTAACCAGAAGGCTGGCGGTTCAAACCCACCAGCCACTCCTCGGAAGGAAGGTTGGGCAATCCTACTTCCGTAGTGATATTGCCTTGGAAACCCAAGGACCGCGGGGCCAACTCGACGGCACATAACAACAACAACAACAACATTACTTATATATATATATACACATATATATTAATATAGATATATATTCTTTATTGTCTTCTATTGTGTTTTCCTTACCAACTGTCAGCCTCTCATCTGTTTCTTGTATTTTTGGTTTCATTTTATCCAAGTCTTCAGAAGTTTCACCCAGATTTTCCACTAGTATTTTAAATAAAAGATTAAGATCTTCTTGATTTAGACTAACCTGTGAAATATTATGTTAAAGAAAAAACAAATGTATTTCATTTTTAAGTGAAACAATGTGAATACAGAAAACAAATTCCCAGTAAAAAAACACTCAGGACAAAATAGTCCTAATATTAACTAAAAAATTATATAATCACTACCTACTCAATTATTTTACAAATTTTTTTTTATTTTCAAAGAAAGGAAAACATTTGTTTTAAAATATATAATTTATTAATTAATATTAGCTCCACCAACTTAATGTTAATATCCTTCCTGAAATTAACTATGATTAAAGAAACTTAATCATATTTTTTTGAAAGTAACAAATACAGAAAATGCAAGATTCCCCATTTTAAATAGCAATTCCGTGAAATTAAAAGGCTATCTTCAATTTAAAAATTAGGCATTTTCCTCAATGGTATAATTATCTGGATAGTCATAAAAATTTAAGTGTATATATAATATAAAGAATGAGACATAATATTATATACCTGTTGTTGTTGGGTGCCATCGAGTAGATTCTAATTCATAGCTACTTTCCTGGTTACCTAGTGCGGCTCTGACAGGAATATACCACAAATGGGATGGACTTAACAAACAGGAGTTTATTCTCTTACAGTTTGGGAGGCCAAAAGTCCAAGTTTGAAGTGCCAGGCTCTCGGGGCTAGGTGAAAGTCCCTCAACCTTGGGCTTCAGCTCAGCCTTTCGCTCCTGGCCCACTGAAGCTAGAGGTATCTCTTCACTCAGGCAGTTACTGGCTGCTGAGGCTAACAAGCCCAAGGTCAACAAATAAAACGGCACAGTCCTGATGTTACCAAACCACATGGCAGGCCATTAATTCAAGTCCATCGAAAGTTCCAAGGTTGGCAGAGTATGGCAGGCTGCTGAACAACAACACAGCTACATGCGGGGTTCAAGCATGCCAAAAGCTAGAGACCATTACCAAACCTGCTGCTTATATACAGGAAGCAGACCCCATACCAAAAGCAGCTACTGGGCTGCTTGTGGTAGATCCCATAATGGAGATGATTGCCAGTCTCATCATGGGGAATAGCTACCACCAACTGTCCAGCCACTCAGCCAGGCCGAACCAAGTTGACATGCAACTTTAACTACCACAGCAATCTCGTGTACAATAGAATAAAACATTGTCCAGTCTTGTGCCACCTTTACAATCATTGTTATGTTTAAGCCCACTGTTGCAGCCACTGTGTCAATCCATCTCATTGAAGGTCTTCCTCTATGTCACTGGCTCTCCTCTTTACCAAGAACAATGTCCTTCTCCAGGGACTGGTCCTTCCTGGTAACACATTCAAAGTATGTAACATGGATTTTCACCATCCTTGCTTCTAAGGAGCATTCTGGCTGTACTTCTTCCAGGACAGATTTGTTCATTCTTCTGGCAGTCCATGGTACTCTTCACCATCACCACAATTCAAAGGCATCAATTCTTCTTCAGTCTTCCTTATTCTTTGTCCAGTTTTTGCACACATATGAGGTGATAAAAAATACCATGGTTTGGGTCAGGCACACCTTAGCTCTCAAAATTACATCCCAGCTTTTTAACACTTTAAAGAGGTCTCTTATAGCATATCTACTCAACACAATACAGTGTTTGATTTTTGACTGCTGCTTCCATGGGCATTGACTGTGGATCCAAGTAAAATGAAATCCTTGACAACTTCAATCTTTTCTCTGTTTATCATGATGTTGCTTATTGTGGAAATTTTTCTTTTCTGTATGTTAAGGTGTAATACATATTGAAGGCTTAGTCTTTGATCTTCATCGGTAAGTGCACCAAGTCCTCTTCGCTTTCAGCAAGCAAGGTTGTGTCATCTGCATATCACAGGTTATTAATGAATCCTCACCAATGCCTTTTTATACTCCAGCTTCCTGAATTGCTCAGCACACAGACTGAATACCGACAACGAAACCCAGTGCCAACAGTTCAACTCATAGAGACCCTAGAGGACAGAATAGAACTACCTCATAGTGTTTCCAAAGCTGTAAATCTTTATGGAAGCAGACTGCCTCATCTTTCTCCAGCAGAGAAGCTGGTGGATTTGAACGGCTGACCTTTTAGTAAGGAGCCAAATGCCACCAGAGCTCACAGATTGAGTAAGTGTGGTAAAAGGATTCGACCCTGACGCATACCTTTCCAGATTTCAAACTATGCAGTATCCCCTTGTTCTGTTCAAACAATTGCCTTCTGATCTATGTACAGGTGCCACATAACCATAATTAAGTGTTCTGGAATTTTCATTCTTCACAACGTTATTCAAAATTTGTTATGTTCCACACAACCAATTGCCTTTGCACAGTCAATAAAACACAGCTAAACAACAAACATCTTTCTAGTAGTATTCTTAGCTTTCAACCAAGATCCATCTGATATCAGCACTGATATCCCTCATTCCACATCCTCTTCTGAATCCAGCTTGAATTTCTAACAGTTCCCTATACATGTACTGCTGCAACCATTTTTTGAATTATCTTCAGCAAAATTTTACCTGCATATGATATTGTTAGATAATCTCTGCATCCAAATTCCATTGGATCACTTTTCCTTGGAATGGACATAAATATGATCTCATTCAGTCAGTCGGCCAGGTTGCTGTCTTCCAAATTTCTTGGCATAAATAAGAAAGAGCCTCCAGTGCCACATCCATTTGTTGAAACATCTCAATTGGTATTCTGTCAATTCGCAGAGCTTTGTTTTTTTTGCCAGTGCCTTCACTGCAGCTTGGTCTTCTTCCTTCAGTATCATTGGCTCTTGATCATATGCCACCTCCTGAAGTAGTTCAACATCAGCAAATTCTTTTCGCTACAGTGATTCTGTGTATTCCTTTCATCTTTTTTGATGCTTCCTGAATCATTCAATATTTTGCCCATAGAACTGAAAACTCAAGGCTTGAATTCTTTCTTCTGTTCTTTCAGCTTGAGAGATCTTGAGTGTATTCTTCCATTTTGGTTTTCTAACCCTCATCTTTGCATATTTCATTATAATCTTTGTCTTCTCAAGCTGCTCTGTGAAATTTCTGTTCCATTATTTTTACTTCATCATTTCTTCTTTTAATTTAGCTACTCTACATTCAAGAGGAAGTTTCAGAGTCTCTTCTGATATCCATTTTGATCTAACTGATATAATTATATAATTGATATAATTTTAACTTGTAGATGAGCAACTGATGGTCTATTTCACACTCAGTCCCTGACCTTGTGCTGAGTGATGATATTTAGCTTCTCCATCACCTCTTTCCAGAGACATAGTAGATTTGATTACTGTGTATTCCAGCTGGTGAGGACCACATGTACAATCGCTATTTATATTGTTGAAAAAAAGACATTTCTATTGAATAAGTTGTTGTTCTTGCAAAACTCAATCATGTGACCTATAGTGTTACTTCTATCACCAAGGCCCTATTTTCCAACTACTGATTCCTCTTTATTTCCAATTTCTGCATTCCAATCATCTATAATTATTAATGCATTTTGATTGCTTGTTTGATCAATATCAGACTGCAGATTTGGTAAAAATTTTCAATTTCTTCATGTTTGACATTAGCAGTTGGTGCATAAATATGAGTAATAGTCATATTCATGTTCTTCCTTGTAGGCATATGGATACTATCCCATCACTGACAGCACTGTATTTCAAATCAGATCTTGAAATGTTCTTTTTGATGATGATGAGTATGGCCATTCCTCTTCAATTTGTCATTCCCAGGATAGTGGACCATATGATTATCTGAATCATAATGGCCAACCAGTCCATTTCAGCTCATAGGATATCAGTCTTCAAGCATTGCATTTCATTTTTGACAACTTCCAATTTTCCTAGATTCATACTTAGTACACTTCATGTTCTTACTATTAATCTATGCAGCTTGTTTCTTCTCATTTTGAGCTGGGAAGGTCCTGCAGGTTTTACTCCATCCATGTCACTGAAGTTGACTCTACTTTGAGAAAGCCACTCTTCCCTACTCATATTCTGAGTGCTTTCCAACCTGAGGGGCTCATCTTATATCACTATAATGTTTCACTGCTATTCATAAGGTTTTCACGGCCAATTATATTTAGAAGTATATTGCCAGGTCCTTCTTCCTAATTTTTCTTAGTCTGGAAGCTCTGCTGAAACCTATCTATCATGGGTGACACTGCTGGTATTTGTAATACCAGTGTCATAGCTTCTAGCACCACAGCATCACACAAGCCACCACAGTATGACAAACTGACAGACAAGTGGTGGATAATATACTAAGAAGCATTTATATACAGATTTCTGCTATGTTCTTATAGCATAATAAAGTTTTATATAACTTAAAAGTTAAGTTATACTTAAGTGAAGATTATAAATTCTAATTAAAATCATAAAAATCTATTTCACTGAAACTTTTCTTACGATAGTATTCAGTTACAAAAGCCCTACATTTTATTTAAATTTATAGTAAGAAAGTCTTCATAGTCTAACATTTCAGTAACATAGTTTTTTTTCACACATATACTTACATTCATTGAATCAAGATGTCCTTTAATTTCTACAACAGGCACCTTGTGGTACCAAGATGAAGCTAGATTCCGATTTACAGAAAAGTCCAAGTTAATTGGGTATAACAGCTGAATATCAGGATGGGAGATGCCTGGTTGGATCACTGTCCTAATAAAAGATACAAAGGATACATAAGCATACATAGGAAAAAATCCAATATATCATAAAAATACACAAAGTCAAAAGCTGATGCTCTAAATACAGATTTAAACTGTGTTGAGTGTTTTCAAAACTGAATTGATAATTCAATTAATCTATAATCTACTAGCAGGCATACGTTAAAACAAGAAACATACAAAACCCATTAGGAAAACTTCTTTAAATAGTAGGTAAGTGACAAACTGAATATATTTTAAAAAGAAATTCATTTTCTTAAAGAAATAGGAGGAATCATTAAATACAGCTGTTCATGGAATGATATGTGTATGGGCACAGAGATTAAAGAGAAAACAGCAAAGTACAACAGTTAATATTTTCAAAAGCTCTTCTCCTGGATTTTTTTCTAGATAATGTTATAATAATTATGTCTTGAGTCTGGAAATTAAATCCCCTGAAATAGGTTAAAAAATTATTTTAGAATGACTGTGCACAAACTGACCTCATGTGCCATCTGGGGTCAGCAATGACGATACATGCAAAAATTTATAGTCTGAATCAGATCATCAGGAAATGCTCAGACAAATCAAATTCAGAGACTCAATATGTACTCTTCTTAACTGTCTTGACAAGGAAAGACAAAGGAAAACTGAAGAACTATTTCAATGTAAGTATCTATCAGTACAGAAATTCCCCTCAGTACTACCAAGATACTATTAAATACCATACGCAATCCTGGATCAGGGAGAAAAATTACTAAAAATTTCCCAAGATAACTTATTGGGACAAGTGGTATGTTTGAATATGGACTGTACATTAGATAACAGTATTCTTTGTTGTTGTTGTTGTTATATGCCATTGAGTTGGACCTGACTCATAGCGACCGCTCCTTAGGTTTCCGAGGCAGTATCACTACAGAAGTAGATTTCTCCATCTTCCTTCTGAGGAGTGGCTGGTGGGTTTGAACCACCAGTCTTCTGATTAGCAGTCAAGTGCCTTAGGCACTACACTACCAGAGCTCCCAACAGTAGTCTATGAATGTTAAATTTCCAGAATTTGGTGATTATATTGTGGTTATGTAAGAGAATGTCCTTGTTCTCAGAGACATACACTAAAGTATACAGAGGTAAAAAGTCTACTCTCTACTCTCATTGATTTAGCAAAAAGTGTTTTAAATAAAATGTATATACACAGAGTTATAAAACAATAGTAAATGTAGGTAAAGGATGTATAGGTGTGTTCATGGTACTTGTACCTTTTGTATAAGTTTGAAATTTTTCAAATAAAAAGTTGATTTAAAAAATAAACTGTTACAGAAAAACAATAGAAAAAAATCAACAAGACTAGAAGTTGGTTTTTTGAAAAGATTAATAAAATTGACAAACCAGTGACAAATTTAACAAAGGAAAAGCGGGAGAGAATTCAAATAACATGAATGTGGTAGTTAAATTTGTATGTCAACTTGGCTAGGCCTGGTTGAGTGGTGGGGCAGTTGAAAATATTAATTGTTGTACTTTGCTGTTTTCTCTTTAATCTCTGTGCCCATATACATATCATTCCATGAACAGCTGTATTTAATGATTCCTCCTATTTCTTTAAGAAAATGAATTTCTTTTTAAAATACATTCAGTTTGTCACTTATCTACTATTTAAAGAAGTTTTCCTAATGGGTTTTGTATGTTTCTTGTTTTAACCTTTTCCTGCTAGTAGATTATAGATTAACTGAATTATCAATTCAGTTTTGAAAACACTGGCAATCAACTCCATGGTGGGATCTACCACAAACAGCTGAGTAGCTGCCTTTGGGATGTGGTCTGCTTCCTGTATATAAGGAGAAGCCCTGAGGATAGTCTCTAGCTTATGGCATGCTTGGACCCTGCATGTAGCCTTGTCATTGTTCAGCAACCTACCATGCTCTGCCAACCTTGGGACTTTCAATGGGCTTAAAATAATGGCCTGTCATGTGGTTTGGTAACATCGGAAGTGTGCCATTTTATTTGTTGACCTTTGGCTTCTTAGCCTCAGTAGCCAGTAGCTGCCCGAGTGAAGAGAGCCTCTAGCTTCAGTGGCCGGGAGCAAGAGGCAGAGCTGAAGCCAAAGCTCGAGGGGCTTTCACACAGCCCCTAGAGCCTGGCACTTTAACTTGGACTTAAAGCCTCCAAATTGTAAGAATAAACTCCTGTTTGTTAAGGCTATCCCATTTGTGGTATACTCTTGTCAGAGCGCCACTAGGTAACCAGAACAGAATATGGTACCGAGAGAGTGGGATACTGTTCTGATACACATCTAAAATGTGGAAACGAGTGGAGTGCATCTTTGACCCGAGACCCTGGCAGAAAGACCCCAGCATATGGCATGAGAGATAGCAGGAGCAGAGCCAAGAGACCGGCATGAGAGACAGCAGTAGCAGAGCCCAGAGACTGGCATTAAACAGCAACAGGCTTACCAGCCCATGAAAGAAAAAGCCGGGTACCACCGGGTAGACAGCTTCCTGACAGAGAGGGTTGCCTTCAGGTGTTAATTGGTAGAAGAGACCTACATGAGGTGGAGTAGTAGGTTGGCTGGCCCACAGAGTGAGAAAGCTGAGTGCTTTTGGGGCAGTTAGATTTCCGGCGGAGTGGGCTGCCTTCGGCATTAATTGGCAGAAGAAGAGGGACCAAGGAAACGGGAAGCAGAGCTGCCTCAGCCTCAAGGGTAGACCATGGCCTTTGGGGGTGGAACCACCACAGCCCCCCAGGTTTCAAAGGGCCAGACCTTCACCTACTGGGTTCTGGAGTATGGGGCCACTCGTTCATGTGAGCTAGTGGGATGGAGTCACAGCCGCTGCCTAAGAGTGAGGGGGCAGGGCCGCCATGCCCAAGAAGGAGAGAAACGGGGCCCACCAGGCCAAGGGGGTGAGATCGCCACTGAGGAACGAGGGGACTGAAGTCACCCAGTGAAGAGATCTGTACAGATACCACCCACTGAAGATCTGTACAGGTGCCAAGTTGAAAAGGGGTGGAATTGTGGTGGTCAAGTTTGTGTGTCAACCTGACTGGGCCTTGTTGAGTGGCTGGGCAGTTGGATGTAGTATTTCCCATGATGAGACTGGTAATCAACTCCATGGCAGAATCTACTGTGAGCAGCTGAGTATCTACCTTTAGATATCTGGTCTGCTTCCTGTATAAAAGAAGCAACTTTGGGAATGGTCTCCAGCTTATGGCATGTTTTAACCCTGCATATAGCTGTATCGGTCTTCAGCAGCCTGCCATGTTCTGCTGACATTGGGACTTACAACAGACTTAAATTAATGGCCTGCTGTGTTGTTTGGTAACATCAGGACTGTGTCTTTTTACTTGTCAACCTTGGGTTTATCAGTCTCAGCAGCCAGCAGCTATCTATACATTCAATGCAATCCCAATCCAGATCACATTAACATTCTTTAAGGATATGGAAAAACTAATCACTAACATTATAAGGAAACTTTATATGTCTGCTGAAGAGATGCCTCTAGCTTCAGTGGGCTGGGAGCAGGAGGCAGAGCTGAACCTCAAGGTTGAAGGGCTCTTACCCAGGCCCTAGAGCCTGGCACTTTGATCTTGGACTTAAAGCCTCCAAATTTTAAGAGTAAACTCCTGTTTGTTCAAGCCGTCTCATTTGTGGTATAGTCTTATCAGAGCGGCACCAGGTAACCAGAACAATGAATATGAAACGAAATGGGCAACATCACAACAGAACCAACTGAAATAAAACAGATAATATCAGGATACTACAAAGAACTATACTCCAAGAAATTTGAAAATCTGGAAGAAATGGACAGATTTCTAGAAAAACACCACTTACCGAAACTAACACAGACTGATGTGGAAAAGTTGAACAAATCCATAATAAAAGAAGAAATTGAACAGGTCATTAAAAAAATAACAAAAAAAAAATGTCCTGTCTCTGACGATTTCACTGGAGAATTCTACCAAATATTCAAAGAACTGATACTGATCCTACTCAAACTATTCTAGAACATACAAAACAATGGAATCCTCCCAAGTTTATTTTATGAGGCAAGCATAACCTTCATACCAAAACCAGGCAAAGACATCACTCAAAAGGAAAACTACAGACCTATATCCCCCATGAATATACATGCAAAAATCTTCAACAAAATCCTAGCCAACAGACTCCAACAATATATCAAGAAAATAATTCATTATGACCAAGTGGGGTTCATATCAGATATGCAAAGATGGTTCAACATTAGAAAAACAATCAGCATCATCTACCACATAAATAAAACAAAGGAAAAGAACCACATGATCATATAAATCAATGCAGAAAAGGCATTTGATAAAATCCAACACCCATTTCTGATCAAAACTCTCAGCAAAATAGGAATAGAAGGGACATTCCTTAACATAATAAAGGGCATCTATGCAAAACCTACAGCCAACATTATTCTCAATAGAGAGAGAATGAAACCATTCCCCTCGGGAACAGGAACCAGACTAGGATGTCCTCTATCAGGACTGCTATTCAACACGTATTAGAAGTCCTATCCAGGGCAATAAGGTAAGAAAGGGAAATCAAAGGCATCCAAATTGATAAGGAAGAAGTCAAACTATCCCTATTTGCTGGTGATATCATCCTATACTAGAAAACCCAAGAAACTCAGTCAAAAATCTCCTGATATTAATTGAGACATTTAGCATAGTGGTAGGATACAAGATCAACATCCAAAAATCAGTTGGATTCCTCTACACCAGCAAAGAGATTGCTGAAAAAGAAATAAGGAAATCAATACCATTTACA